CACAACGGGGTGGAGAGGTCCACTGGTCAAAGCCCGTCCGTGCAAAGTCAAAGGGCTAGATCCCGTGGTCAAACGCTACAGGGTTAGCCGGGACGGGGGCCCTGGGGGGTAGCAATGCCACCGGAGCGTCGTACCGGGCCCTCATACATGCGGGGTGGTGTTGTGGCATGTCCGAAGAGGCGGCACGCGTCTCCGGGTTGTGGCCCCCCTCACGGACGGCAATGAAACGGTAGTAGACGTTCTGCGGTAACGATGCAGCGTGAATATTATTAAATACTTGGAGCGCGATAAAATCATGAGTTTTTTACACAACGTGGGCACATGTGCCATAGGACTGATGGTAATTTTTCATAATTTTTTGTGATGGAGAAGTATCTGAACACTTCCCTCTACGCGGATTGCTCTTCGCACGTCTACGACTGTGGTCGGCGGCCTCCGGGGGCTAGCATACCGTCAAATCTTGCGTAGGCGGCCTCTCACAAATTTGGAAGTGTTGAGGCGGTTGCAAACGCCCAGCACGCGTCTCCGGGGTGTGCCCCCCCCCTCACGGACGCCGCCGCCGCCGGCACCTGGAGGGGGGAAACGAACGCGTCGGGTCTACACGGAGTGGATGTAGCTGTGGGTTTGGCCCGGATGTTGCTCCAAAGTGTTCCTCTGGGCCGACCTAACACAACCGGGTGGAGAGGTCCACTGGTCAAAGCCCGTCCGTGCAAAGTCAAAGGGCTAGATCCCGTGGTCAAACGCTACAGGGTTAGCCGGGACGGGGGCCCTGGGGGGTAGCAATGCCACCGGAGCATCCTACCGGGCCCTCATACATGCGGGGTGGTGTTGTGGCATGTCCGAAGAGGCGGCACGCGTCTCCGGGTTGTGGCCCCCCTCACGGACGGCAATGAAACGGTAGTAGACGTTCTGCGGTAACGATGCAGCGTGAATATTATTAAATACTTGGAGCGCGATAAAATCATGAGTTTTTTACACAACGTGGGCACATGTGCTATAGGACTGATGGTAATTTTTCATAATTTTTTGTGATGGAGAAGTATCTGAACACTTCCCTCTACGCGGATTGCTCTTCGCACGTCTACGACTGTGGCCGGCGGCCTCCGGGGGCTAGCATACCGTCAAATCTTGCGTAGGCGGCCTCTCACAAATTTGGAAGTGTTGAGGCGGTTGCAAACGCCCAGCACGCGTTTCCGGGGTGTGCCCCCCCCCCTCACGGACGCCGCCGCCGCCGGCACCTGGAGGGGGGAAACGAACGCGTCGGGTCTACACGGAGTGGATGTAGCTGTGGGTTTGGCCCGGATGTTGCTCCAAAGTGTTCCTCTGGGCCGACCTAACACAACCGGGTGGAGAGGTCCACTGGTCAAAGCCCGTCCGTGCAAAGTCAAAGGGCTAGATCCCGTGGTCAAACGCTACAGGGTTAGCCGGGACGGGGGCCCTGGGGGGTAGCAATGCCACCGGAGCGTCGTACCGGGCCCTCATACATGCGGGGTGGTGTTGTGGCATGTCCGAAGAGGCGGCACGCGTCTCCGGGTTGTGGCCCCCCTCACGGACGGCAATGAAACGGTAGTAGACGTTCTGCGGTAACGATGCAGCGTGAATATTATTAAATTCTTGGAGCGCGATAAAATCATGAGTTTTTTACACAACGTGGGCACATGTGCTATAGGACTGATGGTAATTTTTCATAATTTTTTGTGATGGAGAAGTATCTGAACACTTCCTTCTACGCGGATTGCTGTTCGCACGTCTACGACTGTGGCCGGCGGCCTCCGGGGGCTAGCATACCGTCAAATCTTGCGTAGGCGGCCTCTCACAAATCTGGAAGTGTTGAGGCGGTTGCAAACGCCCAGCACGCGTCTCTGGGGTGTGCCCCTCCCCCTCACGGACGCCGCCGCCGCCGGCACCTGGAGGGGGGAAACGGACGCGTCGGGTCTACTGGGAGTGGATGTAGCTGTAGGTTTGGCCCGGATGTTGCTCCAAAGTGTTCCTCTGGGCCGACCTAACACAACCGGGTGGAGAGGTCCACTGGTCAAAGCCCGTCCGTGCAAAGTCAAAGGGCTAGATCCCGTGGTCAAACGCTACAGGGTTAGCCGGGACGGGGGCCCTGGGGGGTAGCAATGCCACCGGAGCGTCGTACCGGGCCCTCATACATGCGGGGTGGTGTTGTGGCATGTCCGAAGAGGCGGCACGCGTCTCCGGGTTGTGGCCCCCCTCACGGACGGCAATGAAACGGTAGTAGACGTTCTGCGGTAACGATGCAGCGTGAATATTATTAAATACTTGGAGCGCGATAAAATCATGAGTTTTTTACACAACGTGGGCACATGTGCTATAGGACTGATGGTAATTTTTCATAATTTTTTGTGATGGAGAAGTATCTGAACACTTCCCTCTACGCGGATTGCTCTTCGCACGTCTACGACTGTGGCCGGCGGCCTCCGGGGGCTAGCATACCGTCAAATCTTGCGTAGGCGGCCTCTCACAAATTTGGAAGTGTTGAGGCGGTTGCAAACGCCCAGCACGCGTCAGACGAAAAAGACTGCCGACGGCTATACTATGCCGACGGCTGACGCCAGGCCGTCGGCATAGGCCCCTATGCCGACGGCTTTACTATGCCGACGGTCTGACAAGACTATGCTGACGGTATCTACGCCGACGGGTCTATGTATGCCGACGGCTTGGGGGCCTATGCCGAGGGCCGTAGGCATAGACCGCGAGTCCGGTAGTGGTTACCTGTTGCTGCTCGGAAGCATCTAAAAGAAAGTAAACTGAACCAAAGCCACTGGCTCGAGAAGTAGTTGAAAGATCGTGGTTTTCTACAGACGTTATCAGTACACATTATTTTTATGCATGTACTCAGGAGTCAGTACTAGGCTACTAGCTATATCTATCATTTTCTGCAAATTGAAGCATATAGCGAATTCCAGTGTTATGCAAATACAGAATAACACCATGTACTGCAAGTACTCAGGAGTCAGTACTAGGCTATATCTATCATTATTTTGTGCGTTATCAGTACTCAGGAGTCTGTTTGTATCCCAGCGTCACACAGAACTCAAGTATTGCAAGGGCAGTAAAAGCAGGAAAAACATGTTCAGCCTTTCCTTATTTTCGGTTGAAGGTTGTTCGCACCACTCTCAAGAAAAATAAACAATTGGAAAATAAAATCATGATTTTACAGTCTTAGAGCAGATTAATGCATGTATACCAAACTACGAGTAAATACATTTTCAGAACAGCTGACTGAATATCGTCGGGTCCAAATTGCTTTTTATTCAGAGTTAAAAAAAACTAAAACCAAAAAAAGTGGGCAAGCTAGAGACTGAATTCGATGTTTGAAAAGTAACTGAGAGTTCTGTTTTACTGTAGAGATAAAGTTGGGTGATGGAGATGAAGATCATCAGAACACCGTACAAAGCTTTAAAACATTATTGGAACACAAATTGCAACTGGAAATAACAGCTAGTGACTAAAACTCGGATGTTTCTGCAGGCACTTTCTCTGGAATGCATTCCTGTCTTCTCTTTTTGTATCATCAGCGCTCCCAAGAAATTCAGACTGAGAATGAGGCACAGCCAGCACTGCATGGAAATATGAACAGAAACTCCGTGTCATTCAAATCATGGAGCAAACTGGCTAAAGCAGAAATTATACAAAGCGAGTACAAGGTAAGTAACTTACTCATATCTTGCATGCATCCAACCTTTATTCAGTTGACCAAACTCAGCAACCCATTACGGCGCACAGAACCTGTCTGCCCCCGTATGGCCGTGTGGCAAACAAATTCCACACTGGCGGTTGCCCATCGGGGGTCCCTGAATGAAGCTCAACCACCTTTTCATCACTAGAATTCTTTGGAGGCCCAATTACAATCAGCCGGCACCACACGCTCGGAAACCCATGTCCCAGCCATCTTTGCCCTTAGAGTGTACAGGCAATTTCCCAAGAGTGATCCACTTGTTGTCCAGCTTATCATACTGCTTCAATTCATTATTCTCGGTGTAATCAGCAGCATAAAGCTCATTCTTCACAACTGCAATGAGCAGAGGAGCACCAATGGCTGTACTGTTGAGCCCCTGAGACATATTGTCGATGACCCTCCATGACCGCCGGTTCAGGTCATACTCCTCACCGCATGTCAAGAGCTCGCGGCTACGGGTAACACCACCGATCACATAGAACTTGCCATCCATGAACGCACCAGAGCATCCGTACCTAGCCCTATTCATGCTGGGAAGGGGTGTCCAAGTATGCGCCTTTGAGTCATACATCTCTGCGGAGCTCATTACACTACGAGAAGAATCAAAGCCTCCCGCGACATACACCTTTCCACCAACACTTGCTGACCCAAACCCACACCGCGGCGTGTTCATCGCCAGCCCTATCCATGAATTGGTAAGGATGCTATATCTCAAGGCAAACCTTCCGTAGTCCCCAAACACCAGCAGCTCGGTTCCTACAGCAAACGACTCCCAGAAGTTGCTTCTAACCGGTGGCATGTTGGGCACTTGGATCCAGCGCCCAGTGGACGGGTCATAAGCCTCCCACTCGTGGCCATTATAACTGCAAGAGAGGTATATCCAGTGCTCGGCCACCCCATTCTTGCGACGCAGGCGGTAGATGTCCCCGTTGCGAACCACCGAATTGAAATCACGGTTGAGGGAGGCGATGGCGCCATATTCCCACCTAGAGAGACGGTGAAGGCAATAGATGAAGAGTTCCCGGCCTATGACACCAATGGTATTGCTCCACGAGACCACATCCTGCTGCTCTCCACAATCTGCACCTCACAAAAGTCAATAGCTCATCGTTTTGCTAATTCGTAAAGTTTCTACGAGTAATTTATTACAACTCGTGTTGACTAAAAAGCATACCTGGAGGATGCAGGCACGAAAGGGACTCCGGTGACCTCGATGATTTCCTGCAAATTACAAGAACCATTTAGACTGAAGAGTTACAACAGCAACAACAATCATTTAGCTTGGACTAGTACTGTACTAGTACCTTTTATCACCATGGGAACCAGAATCGACTAGTTGCACGTCAATTATAGGATTGCTCGCATGATTAATAACTACGCCAATCCTGGAGACATACTTTAGATCAGCAGATGCACCCTCAAATTTTGCGGAGACCTCTCTAAGGTGTGGCATATGCTCGATGCTGATTAATGCAGTACCATGTCGATATTGTTTCCACTGATCAGACTTTGAATAAAGTTCAAGTCGTTGGTCCAATTGGGGGATGGCATCGAAAACGAGCCTGAGCTTCAGGAGATTAGGCATTGCATCCGCCTCAAATCTTAGCCAAGCTATTCCACTCATGAACCTCAGCTTCAAGTACTTGAGAGCTGTGAATCCAGCAGCCGAGCCAAAGATTATCTTAATATCAGGCGACGTCTCCACATACAACGACAGAGCAGCGAGGGCAGGCAACCCTCTAAGAGTATCAACATCTTCTACTGGCAGTTCCATCACTTTAATCTTCAGAATGCACAGGTTGCCAAGTTGTCTCATCCGCCACAGGATGTCGTCAAATATGATGCCGCTGTGCCGATAGCATTCAAATCTCTGGAGATTGTGGGGAGGTGCCACGGGAAGCCAGTAGTTAATGGTTGCTTCTGAAGCGTCACCATATCTAACAGAGGACCCGTGAGCCACCAATTTTACAGTATTCAGGCTGCCATGTCCTCCGATTAAGGTACCCAGAGCGGCCATGCTTCTCTTCACATGGTCATGGTCAGAAGAAGGAGATGTAGAAATATAAAGATCCACCAGGTGGTTCATCATGCCAAGGCTGTCAGTACTGACGGCCCAATCCAGAAGATTTGTATTAAGAGGAAGACTGAGGTGCAACAAGTATGGGAGATATATAATGTCCCAGGGAACATGAGTGCCTTTTGGTGTATCCATAACATCCAGGGTCTCCAAACATTGCAGCCCTCTCATGCAGCCTGGCAATTTTATGCAGACATCACATACAATCTTCAGATATATAAGAAGGAACAGTTCGGATATCCCAGTGAGGTCTATAGCCAGGTCTTGGTCGCCATTATGATGTCCAGATAGCTGAAGGTTCAGAACACGAACAAGCTTGAACTCTCCAATGCAAGGCATGCACTCCGATACTCCAAAATACCCAAGTGAACGTACTTGTGACTTTCTGATGTTTGCTGGTATCTTGGCATATTTTGCATCACCAAGTTGGAGAGATAGTCGACGGACCTTATGGGAAAGTGCCAAAATCTTTTGATTGTGATCTACCACCACAACGAAATTCTCTTCCACAGACTTGTGTGCAATAAGATCATGTACCACGTCGTGAACTGTGCAGGACACAACCTCATTGTAGAAGTTGATAGACACGGGTTGGATGAACCTTCTATCAACAAGTTCATCAAAATACATTCCGGCAACTTGTTCCATATTTTGCCCTTCACTTGCAGCAAGAAACCCTTCAGCCACCCATTGCCTGACCAGGTCATATTTGAAGATTATGGAGCCCTCTGGATACATACCAAGTTGGAGCAAGCATGTCTTGAGGTAATGAGGAAGGCTGTTGTAGCTGAGGTGCAGTACTTGTCTCGTTCTTTCTGAAGTTGAATTTGATGACAAACAAGACACTAACGAATCATGTGTGTGTGTGTCAATAAACCCACGGATACAGAAGGCTGGTTTGCTAAAAGGCTAGCAATGCTGATGGTGGCTAGCGGCAAACCACCACATATTTCTACAATCTGGCTTGAAACTTGTTTCAATTCTTCAGGACAGTTATTTTCAGAACCAAAAAGCCTGTCAAAGAATAGCTTCCTTGAGTGATCATCATCCAAAGGATTCATCTCAAAAACTTGTTCTGGGTCATCGCTGCAACATGCTAATGCAACGTCTTCAATCTGTGTAGTTGTTATTATTCTGCTTCCTTGACTACACTTGGGCAAAAGCTGATTAATAACATCCCATGCTGAGGTATCCCATAAATCAAAATTTTCAGTTTCTTCTCTGCTTTCTTCGACCTCTGCTTCGACGTCGCCGTCTCCTCGCCTCCCCGATGCCGTCCGCCCGCGCCTCCTTGCGCTGATTCCCGACGTCGCCCGCGCCTGCTCCTCCCCGAGCCCGGCCCGATGCCGCCCGCACCCGCTCCTCCGATCCGGCCCCGAGCTCGTGTCCGCCCCGCGGACGCCGTCGCCGCCCCCGACTCTCCTCGCCTCACCGTCACACCGTCGCCCCGCTGTGAGCTCCCCCCTCTCCCTCGCCCCCTGTGCCGCAC